GGCAACAGTCAAAGGTGCAAAATTCGTCAATGGAATTTCGAGAATTCACGCAGAAAACGAAAAAATGCTACAGAAACGTGCCAGAAAATTGAGCTTAATGCAAAAACCAAAGCTGCTTAGCTTATGTACTCGTATGTACATATACGTATATACGTTTTTCTGTATCAAATCAAGCGCATGTTTGTATGTGAGTATAGCAGCCCGCTAACCGACTTGAAATGCCAAAAGCGTTTTGTCGCCGGTTTGTTTTTTGCACAACGCGTCAGCTTTATCGGTTCTAGTATAGTTTTTTCATACACAGATCCACATGCTCATATGCACACATACACATGCATACACATATGCGGTATCTTAATACGCTAATGGCTTGTGCAGTCCGTGGCTTTGCTTTGTTTTCTTCGTCGGTAGATGGAGTTTAATGAGCTCGCTCTCCCGTCCAATCTAAATGGCGAACTGCCATTTTGGGGACGCAAAACGAAACTCAAAAAAAGCTAAGCGAAGGAGCATAAAAGTACTTTGTAGGGACAAAAAAAAGTTATAAAAAACTTCAAAAAAAAAACTTTTAATCTGTGGTTATAAAGGCTGCTGTGCATGAAGCAGTTCGCTTTTAGCTTAAATTGATATGCACCCGACCAGAGGATGATCTGTTAAAAAATCATATTTATCCCTTTTAAACGCCTGACCGGATTTTGGTGCGATTTCTTGTGTCGACCAAGTGCATTCGAGAATGCTTCAGACGCCGTCATATCCGAATAGAAGTATGTATGGCACATATTGGACTTTTATTTCCAGGAAGTGATACCATTACCTCATTTAAAGGGTGTTTTTTTTAGATATGTGGTTTTTAAGAATGCATGCATTTTAGTTTTATTATGAAAGTAAGAGTACGCTAGTATTTTTTAAAAATTATATCGGATAAGTGACTGCCGCGGTTGGTTCGAACCAAGGCAATTTTTTACCGCTTTTTTGCAGCAATCGGGGTCGTATGTCATCAACAAACCACCAAATATTCTCTTCCAAGGCGTCAATCGCATCGGTCTTATTTGCTTAGACAATCGATTTCATAAGACAACACAAAAAATAGTTTAGCGGTGTTAAGTCGCACGGTTTAGGAAGCCTCGAAACACAGTCCAGACGCAAGATAATGCGTTCACCGTCAATAAATTGATTGTCTCGATGGCTGTATGGTATGTCGAGCCGCTTTGGTCGAACAAAGGATTTTCCAGAAATAAATTAAGGCGCAAAAAGCTCGCTTAACTGCAACACTATGACCGGCTTTCTTTTTAAAGAAATACGGATCAATGATTCCCTCTGAGCATGTAACGGCATCTCACCAACGTAGAAGTCGAATCTTTATAAATTCATGTCAAGAATTTCTTTTTTAACTCACTTAAAAGAGGATCTTCAATGAATATGTAAATAGGTTTGTGAACTCTCTTATGTAAAAAATTGTTCAACCAGATTAAAAGTTTATCATCGCAGCTGTTAAAGGAGACTTCAGCCACTCAGTTGTTGTTACTGAACGAATTTCCGCAAGAGAAAAGTTTTCTGAGACCTGTTTTTTATTTAAATCGTTAAATGACTTGCCTGTAATGTTGAATGCAACAGAGAGAAAGAAGCGAATAAAGAGAGAAAGAGTAGAAAAAATTAATTTAAATTGTAAATCACCTTGAGAGCTTTTTAAAAGCAAAATATTGCATTCCTTTTTTTACTAAAATTAAAGTTGAAAAATAAGAAATATTAAATATTTTGTAAATAATTTGTAAATAAGTTTATTTAAGAAAACTGCAATTATATACTAAAATTCGAGGATATGATGTGTGCTAAGTACTAACTTTTAAGCAATTAAAAAATATATACGTCGCTATGATTTCTTTGATTTTCTTTCAATAGAGATGGGATATCAATGACAATAAATTTCGTTATCAAATTCACTAAGGCACTGTATAAAGCTAGATGCGTAGATGGAAAATACTGGTGGGGCTTAGGAGACCCCAGCATCTTCTAAGCAAAAGCTTACCTCACGCCCAGATGTCATACGATAAAGAAACACCGTTAATCAATACATAGTAATTTGCAGTGACAGCGATGCTACACTAAGAGCGATATCTCCATGTGCAATCAAATCGTATATGGTACAGGATATGGTGCCTGAGGAGCAACCGCAAACTCTTCCTTATAGGTCCTCATTCAGTTAAAGAAACAGATATTGGACTGCTAGAATACCAGAACATTCAGAGATTTCCTATTATTTAGTAAAGATAAGTAAATAATACTAACAAGATCTCTTAGAGGGCTAAGCTGGCTAGGCAAGCATATGCAAAGAATTGGACTCAGCTCTGATAGAGCCTTTCGCTTCTGTGAGCTACTGTGAGCTATCACCGGAAACACCAGCGCACGTTTGAAAGCGATGCCGATGCTAAAAGAAGGCTGAAGCATTCAGTCGGGGAGCAAAATCACATTTAATTAATCAGACCATCTAGCCTGCTACGATTTCTAAAAGCTTAAGTATTGATTAAGCTAATGTGAAAGAATCGGAGAGCACAATATACCACTGGTCGCAGTGCATATCCTGCCATATCCTTCAATATAATGATGACGTCATCGTTAATTGGCAATCCAACTATAATAAAAACCCAAACACTCAAACCCATTTTGCGGCAGCAACAACGTTTAATATCTGCAACACTAATTTCAAGTTGGTTTAATTTGATTTTAATTATTATTATTATTATTTTTTGTCAGCATATTATCAGCGATTTCAATTATATTTAGGAAAAAAAGCACTTTTCATGCACTACAAATCAGTTCATTGATTTTTAATTATAATTACAATTTTTATATTGTTTTTCGAAAAGCACCAAAAAATGAATTTCGTCATTCGTTGAAAATTGGCGAAAAACTGAAACACGATCTTCACTAGTTTCGCGTTACATTTTTGCAATTTCAAATTGAAATAAAAATAATAAAAATTAGATCTTTAATAATTTCCACAACTCGGATTATTTCGATTCGTTTTGATGCTTTTGATGATGAGCGTTGATGAGCGATGATGAGCGCTGATGAGCTGTGACGACCGAAAACCGATCGATCAATTTGCATTTGCGCTGTAGCGGCAACAAAAAGTTTGCAGCAGCAACAACACTTCGTTTCGTTGTAAACTCGACGACAGACTGACGACCAGAAATCGTGTGCAACGCCAACAAACAGCCAGCAACTTGAGAAACTCAGCGAATATAGTGGACGATACAAGTACGAGCAACACATGGAGAAAGAGAATAGAAGAAGAAGAAGAAGAGAAACAAAAGATAGAAGAAGAAGAAGAGAAACAAAAGATAGAAGAAGAAGAAGCGCAAGCAGAAACACTTAACAGCATGTCAGCGTCGGAGTATATTTGTATCTTTCAAAGATATCAACGCAAACAACCACCTAAGACACAAACAAGCATACAAACAATCAAATACATGTGCACACATACACACATACATACGTACGTACACACAAAAAGGTAGGCAAAACATGCTAATAAAACACAAAACACAACAAAATAGAGCAAAAGAAGTCACTTGCAGAGACAGCCAAGTGGAACTGAGCGAGCACACAAGCACATACATACATACAATAAAACAGAGATACACACATCCATACACATTTTTAAGTGATCTCAACATTAAATTGTTTTGCTTGTATATTTTTTATATTCTTTATTTTTATCTACCACATCGCGCACAAAACGCTGAAGCCGGTTGCTCAGCCACCTGCCCCTCAGTTGTTCGGCGCCAGAGGCGATCAGCCGTTCGAGCGTTTGGTTGTTCTGTTCTCGACAAATGCTTACATCACGTTTTGTTGTCTCACCCCATTATTGTTGTTCAATACTATATTTTTTTTTTAACCTCGTATTGTTATATTGCAGTGCAAGGGAAAAAAAACAGGCAAGAGAGACTCAGGTCGCATTTGCAGCTGCTTAAGAGCGCTAAGCGGATGTTTCTTTGAAGAGTAGTTGCAATTAAAAGTTAAAAGAGAAACTGTCTTGTTGAAGAGTGTCGGAAATTTAAAAGAGAAGTCGTTAACTTATGCTTTGCTTGTTGGTTGAGAGGTAAAACGTATTTTAGTTGTCAATTTTGTGTATTTGAATTCAAATAAACTATTTTTAAGTATCTTTCAATTAATTGAAATTTCATTAAATTTATTTGAATCTAATTAATAATTTATTCAAATAAAACAGTTTTTTTAACAATGCATATACACACACGCAGATCAATCCGTACTTTTTTTGCGCCTAAAATCAGGCTATGAAATGATATTATGAGTTCTCTAACTAGCAGCGCTGTAGGCCGAACAGAATATTGGTGTGCCTAAAAGCAGGCTAAATTTTCTATTTCCTTTTGCTTGAAATGTTAACCTAACATAACTATCGCCAACATTTATTTCACAAAAAGAAACTTTTGTATGAAATGAAATTCAAGAGTTTATCAAAAAATTAGTATTTTTTTATTATTTGCTGATTGGTTGTTCCAACGAATTTCTAACGAAATAAGAAAATAATCCGAGTTAAATGCATTATTTTTTTTTTTTTTGCCTAGCACAAGCGTTTGACACAGTATAGAACGCCTTGAAAAGTTGATATAAAAATTGCATTCAAGCAAACCAAAAATATTTTTAAAAAGTCTTCTTAATTATTTAAAAAAATAGAATCATAAATTTCTTAGGTTTAATCCTAGAGTGGTTTCGGAAGCGACAAAGCAGTATTTTACTGAATTCTATCGTTTTTAATGTTTAGCTCTAAGTAATTGAGCAGTTTCGCAGAACTTTAATCATTTCATTTAATTTAAATGTTTTCTGCTTCTCATCAATTATTAAAAAAAAAGTATTAATCTTGATGTTACAATCGAAAAAAATTCTTCCCATTTTGCTTTAAATGAATTGAGTAATTTTAAGTCTTAATTAATAACTATTTAATTATAAATTCTGCTGAAAAATGCCAAAAAAAAACTACTTACTCAGTGGAGTTTTAGCCAAAAGCTTCGGTGAACCGCCACCAGCACTCGCCATACTCAGATCGCTTTGAGAGCTCTTCTGACTGTCTTTGCTGTACGAGCGACCACTGCAATGAGAGAATAAAAGTTTACTCAGCCTTTTGTGAAATTCTAAATAATTTAAATGTTTTATTCCACAACATTAATATTAACTGAAAGTGATGAATTCACTAATGAGAGGTATCATTTTCTTGCGGTACGAATAAAAATACCAATACAGTATATAACATATACATATATGGCTGTATATATGTATGTATGCATGTAAGTAAACTGCAGATGCGCATATTCATCAGATCGATCATATCATCGGCTCAGACATTAGCTCACCTTGTTACATCAACACCGTATTTAACTAACGATATGAAACTATAAACGTATATATGTGCATATGTATAAGTGAATACCTGTGTATATCTACCTATATTTGTAAAGGTATGTGTCCTATGTTATTACACGTACATATAAAAATAATCTGAGCTCAACGGTGAAACGTAATCAGTCGTGACTAGTTTTATTTCCATTTTACACCATAAAATGCGAAAAAATATTTAAAAAAAATCTGCGATTTTACAATAAATAAAGAAAAATATTTAACACACTCGTGGCTTACTGCTACGAATGCTTTTTGTGCTTAGTAAAGCGTGCATTCCTCATTTGCATACAAATAAACAATTTAATTAAATTACATATTTTTTATTTTAAACATCAATTCATAAGTTAATTAAATTTCCACTAATAGAATAAAGCATTTTATTCAATAATTGAGCATAATATTTTATGAACAAAAATTAACAATATTTTCCAAAGCGTTTTTATAACTTATTCATTAAGACTAAACAATTCCATTGCCACCGGAAAAAAATAGTTTTAATTAAACGGAGAAATATTTGTGGGAAACTAATTTTTTACGACTTCTACACCGATATGTATGTATATAAAGCAGTAGTTTTCTATACATATGCATATACATACGTATGTTTTATGTAAAGAATTTCATTTCCTCTTCCTTGTCATGATTTTGATTTTTCCATTAAAAATTCGTTTTGTATAATAAAACAGGGAGAAGTTAACATCTTTTGCTGCTTAGAGATAAAAAAAAATCGAAAAGAGATGACAAAAGAAATTCATAACAAAAAGCTCAATGCGGAAGAGAAATCTAGCTAAAATTCTCAGCTAGCACTGTCGGGCACAGCTCGATATACCGGGGGATGAAGGAAAAAATATACCGCAGATCCCTCCATTTTACCTAGGATAGAGTCTATTACGTTGAGTCAACCTTCGGCAACCATTGAAGCTTCGCGATGTCTTTGACACACGGAAAGCTGCTGAGATAGCTAGAAACATCTACTTTTTTTCAATGAGCATATCGAAATTATTGCAATTGATCCATTTTTAGGGATATGCGGTATACAATAATTGCCAGCAAAAGTCGAGTAGTAAAAGTGTAGTTTTGTTGCCACTAGTTTTCTGCCACCCAACAACGAAAACCGAAATATTAAGTGCAAAAGGAAAATATTTAAAAAAAAATATTTATTAAAATAACTTGAACTTGGCTCTAATATTAGTTTGTCCCGTGCGACATCAACGTTTTAACAATTTGAGAACAAACTTTGTTTGATCTTAACTAATTTTTTTCTTAAATAATACTCAAAAGGCGACGGAAGGAGAAAACAATTGTTTCTTGATGTTGATAAAATTTTAGTTTTTTCAAAAAATTGGGTTCTTGAACTTTTAGTATCGATATATTTTATTGGTATCAAAATGCTTGTAATGATGAACCCGATAACTTTCTGGGTCCGATTCACTGTGTTTAGCCATCTGTGGCATTCTCTAAAATCGCAGATGAACTGATGTTCGAAATCACTGGCTTTCATGTCCCAAGCGACTGCCGTTGCCAAAATAAATAACTTAAAATTTTATATGTACAGTTGTCCCGTGCGACATGTTAGCCATTCACTGAGGAAGTGTTCTGAACATATTTCCTATAAGCTACATTGTTGAACTCCGTTTCAGTTTCGTTGAAACCCACAAAGGTGGATTAAATTAAACAGCAGAAAATCTCAATTATTGCAACACGGAGTAACGAATTCATTGCAATACCGGCGGTGCATAAGTCAATTAATCGAACACTCAGCCACCATCAACACCTGTGGCTGCATTGACTCGCCATTTATTTGCTGTTGCAACAAATTGTGCATATCGCATGTGAGAAACAACCACAAAAGCCCTGCACAGGAACAACAATAAAGACGGCGAACCAAATAAAGGTTGAAAGGAAATGTAAATATTTTTTTTTTTAATTATATTTTTTCGATTTTCCTTCGAAAAACCAAAACAACAAAAATTCAAACGGAAATACAGAATTAAGCGAATGAGACGGGAAGTGGGGCATGCCACATACAGCATGCCACACACAAAAGCCTTTCCGTTCGCCCATCACGAAGTCGAGTTTTACGAAATGTTTACCATTTCCTTTATGCCACTGACTTCAATGCCGATTTTTTGTCGCATTAATTATGTGCTTGCAACAGCGCAGTCAGTTGCACAGTGCAGTGGCAGTGGCAGGCAATGCACACAGCACAAGCATTTAATTAAAGCAATTAAAGTTTATGTACGAGTGTGTGTTATGTAGCAGCATCGCACTGTTGCTGTTCTTGTAGTTGCTGCTACTAACTACCTTTCCAACTTTTATCCGCTATAAATGCGATTCTGGGATTCCAATTGTGCCACAATTTGTACTCGTGTAGGTTATTTGTAATGCTCTCTGCATGTGTGTGTGTGTGTGTTTTGCATGAAAATATATGTACCTAAATGTGGAAAAATTACCCGTTCCTTACAGCGCGTGTCGCAAGTACGATTTTACTAGTTTAAGCCTTTCTAATTCCCAGATTTATGCGCCTTCGTGTGTGGGTTTGTGTGCTGTGGAGGAAACATGTTTTATGGCGATTATGAGTGCTTTTATGTCACATCTGCTCAGCTGTGGTTGACCAAAACAGTAAATAAATAAACAAAATTACGTCATGGATACCAATTTTACGAACCATATTTCACCACTCTTCTAAAGAGATAGAAAAACGAGTGGATTTTCGGTAGTCAATAACAAAGCTACGTCACACAAACACTTCTCTGCATATATTGCCGATCACATTGGATACATTTTGGTCCTTCTAAGCTGCGCTGAGCTCAGTAACACCGCAGGAAAGCAATAATTTCCCACCATCTAACGTCCGAAAATATCCCTACAAACAAGAAGGCAGTAGATAGAGTGATTGTAGAGAAATAATTGCATATTTACAGAGTTCCAATCACAGGAGAACTCTTGGAAATGTAGCAGTTGCTGAGATTACCAAAAGTTCCATTCGCCTGGAGAACTGAAGACTAGTACATAGAAGATGCCAAAACCTCCGTACACAGAAATTTTTGAGAGAGCGGGAAAATGGATAAGAGTGATATCGAAAGGATTGCAGGACAGTTGTAGGCCTAATGACAAGCGACAATCTACTTGCATCCCACGCAAAAACATTACATTGGATGAAGTTTTAAAGAAGGTCGCTTAAACATTCCCAAAAGCGTTGAGATCCTACACGACGGCGACTTCACCTCGAATTAAGTTGGAGATCTGGTACTACAAAGGACCAACAGGTCTACGACACAGTCATCAGTGGATCGCCGCTTTGAAACAATTAAACAAGGTGTTGCGCAGAATATTTTCCACTGCCTGCTATTAATAAATTCTTATACTTCGAAGCTCCCTACATTGGCAAAGATCGTTTCCCTATATTTAATAATGGCGCATGGTCAGTGTACCCTGCTGACCTTTCCCACATTTTCACCGAGCTACAACTAAAATCAGCAAAATTCTCCTCTGACCTCTTCATCTGCTTAAACTGAGTGTGAAAGTCGTTGACGTAAAAATTCCGACAAGAAACAACTCGAAGTTACGCATTAAAAAGCCTGCATTCCTGCACTCCACTCCATACGACTGCGTTTGTCACCAAAGTATAAAGTCGCAAGCCGGCAGCACCTGGGGAAAAGACAAAAGAACGTGACTCGCAACTTTCGAAGCATTCGCCGGCCAATCTTCAAGTATACCTCATCGACTTGGACTAGCGGGACAGATGAATATGCTGAGAGCTTGTCACGTACAGAGTACCGTAACTGGAAACGTCCAGAGCGCGCACCGATTATACAGTGAAAGATCTGTGTTCCCACTTAAGCAGCTGAGATGCAGCTCAGGGGTAAATTTTTGCAGACATCTACTGGAAGCTGGACCGTTACCCAAGCGCATCAATAAGGGACTCGAGACAAGCTCTAAACACCATTCACAGAGAGTCTACCAGCACCTTTATTAAGTATCTCACCATCAAAAGCGCGTTCGGAATAGAGCCGCCGCACATGGAAGTTGAGGTGCTCGAGCTGCAACACAAGAGTGGGCTCAGTTACTATCTATACAGCCGCGACTCTAACATACTTAACTACTGTATATCCTGCAGGCAATGAGTCCCTGAACCTTTTTTTATGCCTTGAGCCCACTAATCTAACACCCCTCTCCCTCTGTTCCTCTGCGGCTCACTATTTTTAAAACGCCTAAATTGCACTTTTCACACTTTAAACTTCATGAATCTTTGCATTTATATTGATGTATGTATGTTTGTATGTATGTATGTATGTATGTACATATTGTTGTGGTTAAGTTTTGCTAACTTTTAGTTTAAATATTGAAGTCGTTTTTGCACTTTTGATTGGATTTCGTAATTGCAAATCTAATATTTATGCAAAAGACACAAACAAACTTCTATAAACATTTAGTTAAGTTTCAAGATAACATATGTACTCGTATGTAAATATATACAGACAAAGTACGTATATATGTATATTGATTTGTCAACAATCTGGTCATAAACACCTGTACCATTGAACGTGTGTGAAAGCCGAATTACAAAACATTTGTCTAACAAACGTTTATACATACATACATATCAAACATGGTAACACATACACGTACATGCATACACACCTATGTATCGTACATACGTGTATGCACAAACGGGTATGTATAAATATCAAGGCTTGCGAGCTCTCATTACGTGGCATGCAACACCATAGTGAACGTAAACAAGTTGAAATTGCATAATTAATGAAATGCAAATACGAATAACTTTCTTGGGGTGTGCTAAGTGGGGAGAGAGCGAGAGAGAGACATTCATGAACGTGCAACGCACGCACTTCAATGCAACATCAAGTTAAATGCATACAAACATTGACTGATGTCTGCAGTGAGCTGCTACGGGATGCAGTGGGCTGCTGCGGGATTTAGAATTCTCCCATTTCTCGGAAGCTTCCAGCATAAATGCAATGAAAGTAGAAATGTGTGTCAATTGATATGGAGTATACTCGTTAAGATAACAGTGTCTTAAAGTTGCTTTGAAAGAGAAAGCAATGCAGATATTTAGGGAAACTGAGAACTCTTCACACAGTGCCTAGGAAACTCAGCAAGACAGAATTTTAAAAATACGATTTGGGGAATTATATGTATTTGGCAACCTCAGATTTGCAATCTGGCAACTTTCGACATCGATTAACTCGGCAACACTGCATCGCTGAACTTGTTTAAAATTCTTGGCGATGAAGCTCATCAAGTGCCAGTGCTTATCATTGGTAGCTTGGCCCAAGACAAATTTCATTCCAAATAAAATATTGATCAGGGAACTATTGACCCTGGGCGCAGGCTAATATTGCAAGATCGTCTTCTGACTATATGCATTCGTGGGACCAGCTTACATTCAATACTGCAGAAATATTTGACTACAAAAAATTTGTTCCAGTTGAATTCGACATGATTTGTCTTTCACTCAAAAAATGGACCATGTCGATTGGTCATTAGAGGTGTCAAAAAAATACCATATCGATGCTTTGAAATGCGTAATAGCTGATGCATCGTGGACTAACGCGTATGAGCCTCAAATTTACCAGCAGTCAACTGTCGACTGGAAGCTTAACGATTAACCACATCCAACCCAAAGTTGCACTTCTCATCAAATGGTTTCATATTATTTTAGCAAAACTGGACACGTCACAACCGCACTACTAGAACAACGAAAAATAGAGAACTCTGAGTGGTTGTCTTTGGAGAACCAGCCTAAAACGGATCACTCTTAACTGCATTTTTGAACGCTCAAAACACCGTACAGTCGGGACTTGGCACGGTAACGTTTTCCAAAAACTGAAGAGCCGACTAATGCGTACAGAACGCATATTTTGTAGATACCACAATCAGAACGGCAAAAGTGCTTCGACAATTGGTTCTCGTACTGGGAACCACTTAAATTACTCTTAAATCGGACACTCTAAGGTCAAGAGCTCAACTCCACTCAAACATTAGAGTGCACTTCTTTCGAAACTCCGTCCGTGACTCAGCACTATCGATCAAACAAGACAATCTAACAGAAAGTCTTGCCAAACTTCCTAAGCCACTTGAAGCGGCACGCATATCTATATCCATGCTTATCCTGGAGCTCGACTGAGTCTTCAAAATATTTTAAGCAGACACAGGTATGAAGCCTTCCTGTAGCTTTATCTTTATTCGCCAGTCATTTCGGAAAATCCAAAAACATTTATTTGCCTAAAAAGCATATGTAAAGGAGTTTTCGTTAAAAATGGAATCTGGACGTTCAAGTCAGTCGTCATTAAAGTTAGTTGCAGAGGTTAGTCACCGAAGAGGTGTGTCTACAACCGGAAAATATCGTTGATTAAGCAGCTTTTAAATTTATCAAAAACACAAATGAGCATATTACATATGTACATATATTTTTAAACATATGTTATGTATGTATGTTGTATGTACATACAGTCAAAATATGCCCATCCTTGCGCATTTAACCAACAACAATGACAGCTTTGAGTGAAAAGTGAAACCAAAAATGCGACACTGAAATGTTGTTTGATACGCAATTGGGATTGTTTATTTGCAATGCCTGAAAAGTTGTTGACTTAAAGCGGCAATTTTTTTTATTAAATTTAAGCGCATTTCAAATTTGTGAAATTTTCACATTTCAAATGCAGTAATTAAAGAGTAGAGAATTTTGAATATCAGCTAAATGTTGCTTTTGATATTTTTTTTTTACTTTTTAGTTATAATTTTTTGTTTAAATTTTTCTGAAATAAATTTTTAAGCGCACTAATATTTTGAACTGTTTAAAAATTAAGAGCAAAAGCATAACAACCGTAATAACTTTTAGCGCAGAGCTTTTGGCAATGACACTGACTTTCTGACTAACAAAAACAAAATAAAAAGTCACACTCGGGTTGCCTCTGGAGTCTACTGTCAATTGGACACATTTGCAACATGACAATTGTCCATTTTATTGTTGCCAAAGGCATTATAATTGACATTGCAATTGTAGTTTCAGATTTTTTATTGTCTCAAATTGTGGCATCAGTTTGTCTGCTTTTTATTTTTATTTCAATTTTTTTATGCACATTCACGAGAGAAAACCATAAAATTGTTATTGCTTTTGCCCACAACGTTCGTTGATCTCTGCTGGCAACTGCTCCACAGCAATTTCCAATGTCATAACAATTTTTTAATTGCACTGCCATCTCTAGTAATCCATTATTTATGTAATTCTAAGCTTTTCTTCTGCCAAACATGGAAATAAATTATATTGTGAGTGTCAGAGAGGAGAGTGTGAAGAACGCCTCGTTTCTCTGATTTCGCATAAATTGACTTCGGTTTGGGCAAATGTTAAGAATATTTAATTTTTAACGAAAAATGTTTCATGATTTTCATTTATGTATTTAAAATTTACTCTCTTTTATATTTTTTATTATTTTACTTCACACTTTTATTTCTTTTTTTGTTTTTATTTTTACAATTTTAGTGTTGCATTAGGCTTCTCTCTTAAACACACGAGATGTTTAAGCGTTACTCGATTTCAATTCGCGAATCTCGCCTTGGAAGTACATTTTAGCAATGAGATCCTTCGTGGTGGCCTCGTTAAAGTGATAACTTAATCTGTAAACACCCACTGGTGGAGCAACCGGTACCATTGCTGAATCCAAATACAAGTCTCTTATCCATAAATGACCCTGCGCAAAATCTTACAGCGTTTAAAACCAGTAATAACTTCAACTCAAAAACTTACCGAGAAGGGACAACTGTGATTAATATTGGAGTAATCTTTTAAGACTCGCTTGAAAATCGCTAAATAGAGATTAATGCCTGCTTTGCTCTCCATCATATCACAAACATTCGCACGGACCTTAACCAGGAATGGTAGAAATTTATTTGCATAGTTCTTTTTGAGAAGTTGCATGCTTATCTAAAGATTTTTGTAATTTAAATATTTTAGAATATTGCAATAAATAAAAAAAAAATATAACTTGCAGTAACGTTTTCAATTTTTCTTATCAATTCGACGTCCATGTTAATAACGGCTTTAGTACGATTCAGAGGTTTCAATCGGCAGTTTAAATTCGCAATATAAGACTCGTTGGCTGAGCACTCCAGATTTGTAGTTTTAACAAACAAGGCTTCAAGGGACTAAAAAAATACCTTTAAACAATGTGTGGCTTAAATAAGCGCCAAAAGCTTACCGAGGAGAGCAGCATTATTATCAGTAAAGTTGACAATTGCGTCTGCGTCATTTTTCTTCAAGCTTCCGATCAGAACTACACAAAACTAACATATTTTGAAAAAAAGAACTAACATCGCTTCACATTGCTACACTAATTAATATGTTCAAATGGTGTAACAGATTAATTTTCTTTTCATTACAGATAAAAATAAATTATTTCAATTCGGAAAAATTACAAGTATTATACATGACATGCCAACAAGAATCACAGTAAAAACCAAGTGTTTTTTTTTAATATAACATAATAAAATTAAAATTAATAAAAATTAAAAATAAATATAAAGAAACCAAATAAATAAGAAATATTGAAAAATTAATTAAGACGCACATAAAATAAAAGAAAGTGAAACAAAACCAAATATAACAAAAAAGCTAAAATATAGAATAAAATAGAATAAAATAAAATAAATTAAAAAAAAAAATTAAAACAAAATAAATCAAATAAAATAAAATCAAACAAAATCAAATAAAATATAATAAAATAAAACACAATTCACAATGAAATAAAATAAAATAAAATAAAATAAAATAAAATAAAATAAAATATAATAAAATAAAATAAAATAAAACAAAATTAAATTAAATTAAATTAAATTAAAAAAAAAATAAAGTAACAAAATTTTTATTTAGCTAAGGTAAAATAAAATACAATGTATACAAGCAAATAGAATAAAGTCAAATAAATTAAAACAAATTTAAAAATAAATAAAAATAGCTGTAATTAAGCCAAATTAATAAAAAATAATTGAAAATTTAAATAAAATAATAATAAAAGAAAAATAAACAAAATAAAATAGGATACATATATAAAAATGAATAGAATTAAGTCAAATTAATGTAACAAATGAAAAATAAAGTAAATAAAAACCAAAAAATAAAAATAAAATATAAAATCAAAACAAATAAAATAAAATAATAAAACGTGAAATTTAACATAACGAAATCAAATCCGACAAAATAAAATAAAATAAATTAAAACACAGTAAAATGTAGCAGAATAAAATAACATATAGTAAAAAAGGAAAAAATGGAATTAAATTAAATTTAACAAGAATATAATAGAGTAAAAGAGGCAAAATAATAATTAATTTTTTAAACTCCATTGTTTATATTTACCGTCACACCGTTTAACCAAATTAATGGGTGAATAATTAAACATTTATTTTTATTATTTTTTGCTGTAGTTTCAGCAGCTGTGAGTTATATCTTTTTTATATTACTGTTCAAGGGTCATACGAAAAATGTTGAAAATATTTCTCATTCTGCTTTTTGAGCTGCAAATTATTTCGCAGCTCTTGCAGGTAAGTTTGAAAGAATTGCTGCACTTAAATAAAAAAAAAACAATTGCATTACAAAATCATGTATCTTTCAGCCTGCGAATGCGCTGCTGATTGTTAAAACAAAAACCGTCATTTGTGTCGGTAACAGCACTTTCGTTGAGAACATCAGTTGCAAATTAAAGCCTATAAACCGTAATAGGGCGCTTTTGTATATGGACGCAGACCTAATAAGGCCGCTGAGCAATTTCACGGTATAATGCCAAATTCATTTGAATATAGTTTATACAGACTTTCCGCTCTTTCAGATACACATACAAATCTTAAAAAAAAATTACGCCAACCAATTTCAACCATTCTTGGTAAACATTACAGTCAACGTTTGTGATACAATGGACAATCGAGTTGTCTCAAGTTACTTATCAATTTTTAAGGGAATCCTAAGAGCTTACACGAACGTAATTCATAGTTGTCCTTATGAGGTTAGTAGAGTAATTTTTAAAGCTTGCAAATAAATGTTGAAAGCTTTTATCTTTTCAAGGGTCACGTAAAGGCCAAAGGCTTATACATGGACCCGAAAGCTCTACTAGTTATACCACCATTGGGAATCTATAAATTAAGTGCTATTTTTCATGATGTAACTACTAAAGTTTTCATTGGCAGAATTGTATTCCAGGGAGAAGTTTCAGATGTGCGGGAAAAGAGAATGTAAAATTAATTTTTGACTTTTATAGATTTCATCTCGCAATAATCTAAAGAACTAAAGTACAAAAGCGGAAAACTTTTAATTCAACCCTCAACCGGTCGCGCGGTCATTTGTAACGACAACGGAAAATACCTATGGGATATATTAGGGAAATAAAACACAAATTCACTAAAAATCGTTTATTCTTTTTGTATTTGGATATATTACCATTGTGTTTAGGTTCAAATAAGTCGAAAACAAGTAACTAAAATTCAGAAAAATCGCAATTATATAATCAAATAACGTAACTCAATAATATAATTATGAACGAAAACATATTTAGCGCGGCCGATTCGACGCCACGCGACCGTTTGAAGGTTAAGGGGCACACCTTGTGTGATAGCCTAAAAAAAGAAATTTTTTGGGAATTGTTATTAAAAAAAATATTTTATCAATTATTTCCAAATTTTAAGAATATTTTTATACATGTTTCAAGAATACACAGTGAAATTTTTGAAGAAAAAAATTAAATATTTTCTAAGTTATAGTCGATTTCCAACGGCACGAAAAAAAGTTCCTTTACTGCAGCAGTGATTCCGGCCTTCTCCGTGGATGAAATCTAAAAAAAAAAAATTCTCTACTAGATAATTCTCTACGATAAAAAAAAATCAAAAATTGACAATATGGCGGCGTTTTAAAAAAAATAGTCGAATTTTACCCAAAATTTTGGGCGTTTTTTAACCTGCCAAAATTCGATTTTTTGATCAGATCAAAAATCTATAGGTCATTGTACGGAGAACAATATATTTAGAACATGTGAAAAAAATTCGATAGTGATCGGATCATTTGTCTTTAAGTAATCACTGCAGCAAATTCGGAAAGTGCTGTTTCGAGAAAAACGCGTTTAAAGATAAAATTATCGCTTTCACTCGTAGCTAATGAGACTCTCTAGCTGCCGAGCGGCTACTTTTTAAATTGCTATAACTCAAAAACTATTTGAGATATCGATTTGAAAGTTTAATATGCTATTTTTAAAGGTGTAATATACCGAAAGGTGTAATATATGACATTTCAAACGAGATGTGCCCCTTAAGACTTATTTGGATCAAATCAGTGTTCCGTGCTGATGAAAGACCTCCTAATGCAACAATTTAGCAGTAGGAAATCATGTTTTCTAATACGATCGTATAAACGAATGAAATTAAACAACTATTTGCATCACCGCAATTTTGTGAAAAAGAACGTGGCTAAAATTATGCTTAAAAATACTCATTCGAAGAATCACGAAAAAAATGCCAACCAATTTAGAGCCTAACCGTCCAGCTAGCCATTTCATATACCTCCCACCTACCGTTGAATTCGTGAATTATATTGTAATGAAATATTAACAGCTTCAGCATTTTTTTTTTTTTCGAAATAGAATTGCATTTGCTCAGCTCATTTCAAACTGATTTATCAATGGATATGGAATGGATCGTATAGGAAATATCAAATCACCGCTGATTTCTGCGGGACAAACGTCAGTAATACAATCGCTAAGCCTTACTAATCTTTCAATTACATGGCACTCTCACATGTTTTTATGGGCTCGGTAGTTACCGAAATAGAGAATGGGAAGCCCTTAGAGACTTGCGTAAATACACAAGGAAACTATCTGGAAGAATATCGGTGATACATTCCACATCGGTGCTCCATTGAATCCAAGACTTTGCCTGCCATTTTATAAATATAATTTAATGCAGTTCGCTTCTGATGAGTTGTTAATATAATTTACAATATTTCAGTACACTACAAAAACACAATATGTAAAATATTGTGGTATTTGCAAAATATTCAAAATCATCCATTAAATAAAATTAGTCTTTATAATTTTCAACATATGCAAGCACTCTTAATTGATTTTCAACGCTTGACCAATATAATTACATAGGTGCTTTGTAACCGTTGCAGAGATTTTTGGCCGAGCTCCTGCTCTAATATGTGGTATGCGTCTCTATGCTTTTCCGACGAAGATAGGGCAGTTGATTTTTTACGAAAAGCTTTTATTTCATGGATTAATACCCTCAGGCCGCGGCCGCGATATAAAATAAGGAGCTCGAACCCTTGACTTTCAAATGGTTTTTGTTTTGTTGACTAGTAAGCAAAAATCATCAAAGTCATCTAACGGGAGGTCCAAGAAACAATCTATTTCGATGGATTCGGACCATAGCCAGCTATATATCATTATTATTAAATATTTTATATATATTTATATATATTGTTTGCAGTAAATTTTCATAACCGTAGGTCTTATCGAAAATATCTGGTCACACTAATTTGACACAATAATGGTATAATAAATAATTAGAAATGAAAATTTCGTTTTTGCCGCACATTGAAATTACGTCGAAATCCTTGTAGTTCCGACTAACAAATACTGCGAACATGACGCGAGTGCTCTTAACTCGACTGCTAATTATTATGCAGCTTATAGCGGTAAGCAGTATTCACATTAAAACCTGTTACAGTGTGACATAGAAATCTTTACCAGGAATACTGAACTGAGCTCGCTTTCAAAACTTCAAATGTCGTATGTGAGTTGAACAAGTCTTACGTACAGAATTTCAGCTGCGGACTGAAGGCGATCAACAAATATAAGGCCATCCTGGATATGGACGTTTACCTGCTGAAACCGATCCACAATATTACAGGGCTTTAACATTGATTTTTTACTGCAATTGTAGAAAATTAATCAATTAAATATTATGTTTATTTCAGGCACAAGTACAGTTATATAAGAAAAATTACGCCAATAAATTTCAGCCATTCTTAATAAATATCTCAGTGGACGTCTGCGAAGTGCTCGAGAACAGAATATCGTCACGTTTTCTAGTGATTTTGAAGGAAGTACTGGGAAAGTATTCTAAACTACTGCACAAATGTCCCTTTCAGGTGGGTATTGCAACGGTAATTTTACTTGTGCAAGAGATATTTTATTTATTTTTTTTTGTCTTTACAGGGCCACTTGCTGATTAAGGACATGTATTTTGAAGGCAAAAACTTACCAATAACCCCACCTTTGGGTATATATAAATTGATTTAT